GCCCGCCAGCACCGTGTGCAGCACCTCGGCCTCGAAGGCGGCGCAGAAGCAGGCGCCGCACAGCGCTTGTCAAGGGGCGAGAGGGGTCGGCTTCTCCTGGACAGGAAGAGGGGAGGCAGGTTACACGTGGATTCTGGATTGTGCGTTCGCTGTCTCCTGAAAGTCCACCTGGATAGCGCCCCTGGTCTGAGTAGACCCTGGAGAGGTGGGCGTGGGAGGAGCGGGTTTCTTCCGGAGTGGGACAGGTTATACATGGGTGCCGGTTTACTGAGACCCCTGCCTCCAGGGAGGCTTTTTGGATTGCACTAAGCAGGCACCATAGAGAGAAGGAGCCTAAGGAGTTGGTTTTAGGGAGGAAAGAGAGGAGAACCAGAATTAGGTTAGGTCCGTATTATACTCCGTCTAGCGGACTGGGGGTGGATATTAAGCACCAGTTACACAGCTTCCAGGGAGGCCACCCCTATTATAGCCCTGATCAGAGAGGCAGGGTGACCTGGGCCTCCAAGGCTGTTCAGAGAGCGTGGGAAGGGTCAGCAACTCTAAGGACAGGGAGGGAGTAAATGGGAAAGACCAATCGTATTTCACTTTGGGGTGAGGTACTGTCTCCAGGAATGGGCCACGACTGCATCCTCCAAAAGGCAGGGTGATCACCTCCACGAAGACACAGGCAGCCTGTATCACACTTCGAAGGAAGACAACCCGGGTTGCATCCTGTTTTGGGGGTGGAGGTAGGTGGGCCTGCAATATTGAGCTCAACCTTGCTCTGCTATCAGAATCTCCCACCCTCCAGTCTTTCACAAGGTTCTGTGGCCTCTTCAAGACATGGGTCAGCCTGGCCTTGACCCCTCTCAGCTCAACACCCAGGAGGATGGCAGCGGCCATTTACCGAGGGCAAGACTGGGATTGAAGGTTTGGGGAGAAAACGTGTCATTTGGGCACGTCAGCTGTGAAATGACTGTCAGGAGCCTCTCCTACAAAGACTTTATGGACCCCCCCCCGCCCCCTTGGCTGGGTCAGGCGCCTTTTGTGGGCTCCTGCAGCTGCAAGTATGCCTCCAGCCCAACCCTGACCCTGGCTCTGGCTGCCACTGACGACAGGTCTGCCTCTCCCACTGAGCTCTCTAAAGGCAGGGACGGGGTCGGCCTCGTCCCTCACTGTTTCCACCTATCCCACACAGGGACTGGCACAGAGTCGGTGCTCGGTAAGTATCTGGAGGATGAGAGAACAATAAATGCGACCAGAAGGATGAACGCGGACCCCAGGAGTCCTCCGGATTGCAGTCTTGTCAGAGGAGGGGTTGCCTGTGACATCTTTCCATCAGGACAAAGATTCTAGAACAGAGGAGGGGCCGCCCGGATGTAAACGACTGGGCTTCAAGACAAGGAGATGGTTGTATCTTGCCCTGGAGACAGTGGTGGGCGGGCAGGCGTCAGGCACAACAGCAGTTTCTAAAGCGGGGTCAACAGCCGGGGGCGCCTCCAGCAAGAAGACTGCCAAGACAGATCCTCTGGAGGTTCACAGAGAGGCTTGTCACCTCCAGAAGAACCAACAACCCATCAACCTAAGCACGACACCGCAATAAAGTGTCGGGATCCAAGATCGGGCCCGCGGAGGGAGGAGATACTGACCTGGGACCTCTGGCCTCTGCCTAACACGCGGAAACCCAGCCCGGAAGTGGCTCCGGAGACTACAACTCCCAGAAAGCAGTGGGGCTATGTTGCCTATGACTCCCAGAAGCC